TCTGTTTAGGTGTTGAGCACAGTAGCTAGTCTTTTATAGTTCATAATCATTTGTTACATTTTTGAACTAGGTTATTGAAAAGCTAATTAAATTTTTTATTTTTTCTTTTTTATAATAGCTTTCAACCTCTATTCTTTAGGCTTTAGTAATTGCTTTATCCAATATTTTGGAGTTGTTAAATAACATTAGTGTAGCAATTTTTTCATATAGACCTTTTAGAAACATTTTTGTTTAGTCTACTCATTTTAATAGTTGTTTAAATTGATAAGCAAATTTGTCTATCTTTTTTACTTTCTTTTGGAGAATATAATTCTAGCTGCTATTGGTGCTTTTATTCTGGGTGGCAAAGTATTTGATAAATATTAGGACAAAGCTAAATTTTTTGTTTTCTTTGCTAACATTATCCCAGAAAACAAGACTATCTTTATTATTATTGTACCAACTTGCTGTTATTTTATCCAAATAGTCTGATACTATTTTTATTTTCATTGCTAATATTCAATTATTTGTATTAGTCACTTCTTCAAATGCTTTGATCTATTTAAATAGATCTTCATCATCTTCATCTTTAAAGGTTTTTATATAAACTTAGTTGTTTTTATATAAATTAGTTAGTATATTAAATATAGCTACACCTAAAAAGCCTAGACAATTTAGTAGATATAAGCAAGATCTGTAAAGGCCTGTTTATTGTCAAGATTGATAAGCCTATTATTTTTAATAATTTAGTAGTCTTCAAAATAGTTTAAGTCTAATATAATATATGTGGTATAACTTTTTTTTTGTTCAGATGAGTTAGAAAGTCTAATCTCACAGTCACTATCAATTGAAAAAGTATGACTAATATGTTTAAAAACTAAATCTAAACACTTAAACAACTAATTTACAATTTAAAAACCCTAAAGACTTTAAACTAATAGGCAAAAAAAGGCATAGAAAGACTTGGTCTAAGTCTCAAAGTTTTGTTGAGCATGTTTGGTAGTTAAGAGAGTATAAATCAAAATAATACTTTTAATAGTTATAATTAGGCCTTGATTAGAAGCTAAAGAATTTTGTTATTAAAAATAATAGTGGTGTTTTGATGTAATGTTAATCTAAAAAAGTATATTTTTGTATGTTTTGATTTAAATAGTATATTTTTTATAAGTATTTAGCTATATTGAGTTTGATTTCTTGGGGTTCAATTTCAATTATAATCTAATTAAGAAGGTTGATAAAAAAAAATTGTATATATTTATGAAGAAAAAAATGTGTTTAATTAAATAGTTATTGATAATTGTTTCAAAAATAATTATTAGCATTTGTAAAGAAAGTTCTGAGGTATTGTTTGTATTAATAAAATATTATTAAATATATTAAGATTGTAAAGATTGATTGTTATTAGAATTTGGTATTTTTATTGTTTGATATACATAGTTTTTAAAAGTATTATATAGTTGCTAAGGTAAATAGTAACAATTGATAATATGTAAAGTATTTTTTAGTTGGTTGTATCAAGCATAGTTTGGTGTTAAGTATAAATATAAATATCATATATTAAGATTTTTTTTTTTAAATCTTTGACAGTCTTTCCAGTGCTCAATTTATGGCGACTATATTAAGGTGACAGTAAACTATCTCGAACAATATATATATCATTCCTAACCATTAACAGAGAGTTATGTAATTGTGAGCCTGACATCACCTAGCTGTGATAAATATGCCCATATGCGACTTGTCGCACAAACTTGTATACAAGTCAGATAAAGTTTGTTAGCCTGTCAAAGCTTTTCCCTTCATATCTCCTTTCTTTACCAAAAGCAAAAAAAAGTGATAATGATAATCTCATATCTAATACAAACCACTAATAATACCAAGAAAACAAAATAAAAAAGTAACTAAACAAAAAACAAATAAAATAAAGGGGAATTTTAAAGAAAAAAAAAAGAGGGTACAATAAGATGTAAAAAAAAGAAACACAAAGAGAAAAGCCTGAGAGCTTACAAAAGGGAGAAACTATCTCTATAAAGAAATAGTACAAGAAAAATGAGAGAAGAAAAAAACTAAAACAAGAAATACACTATTATAACCTGTGCCAGGTTTAAGAAAAAATTTTATAACAACTGCAATGTTTGTATATCTCGACTATAGTATAACACCTTTATTATCTGACTACTAGCCACTTCTGGATGCCTCTTATATCAGAGACCCTATCCCAGTTATGTAGAGGACCCTGTATCTACAGATTACATTGTGTATCATATCCACTGATAAACAAGGCACATGGTTGCATTTCTGGATATGTTCAAATTTGGGAGATAAACAATGCTGATCTTTTGGAGGGGGTAAGCCAAATCACCCACTTTTTGTCAAAAATTTTGGAGAAGATTGGCAAAACCAAGAAAGACCAAAGGGAAAGACCACTAGCACCTAACAAAAGTATTTTTATTCTTGGAAGAACCAGCGACTAGTAACTCTTTTTTCAGGAAAGTTGAAGAGCTACTGTACTTGCTTTTTGATAAGTGATAAACTCTGAACTTGTCAGCAAGTAGCATATAAGAACTACTTTTAAATAACAAGTGCCATACATGCAGTGAGTAATAAACTCTGAAGTTAGCAGGTAGCATATGAGAACTACCTCTAAATAACAACTGCCGACTTATAGTTTCCAGTTTTATGCTCTTTGTTACTTACTAGTTACTGTTTTTACAAAAAATAGTTTGGGAAATTTTGATTTTAGTGATCATCAGAAAGAGTTGATTAATTTGATATATTAAGATTTAATATTGTTAAAGATGATTTAAATATATAAATTGTATTATAATTTGAGGCAATAGTGCAATTTAATTATAGTAATATAAATTATGATATAATAACATATTAGATATAATGTGTTTTTTAGTAAAATCTATTGGTTAAAAAAAGAATAAAATTACTTTAGTATTAAAAATGCTTTGCTTTTATTAATAATAATCTATCTTTATATAAATCATGTATTGAAAGAGTTTTTAATTGATTTAATTGGCTAGCAATCATGTTTGGATCTATATTAATTAGCCAAATATATGGATTTTATAATTTGTGATTTTCTATAAAAATACAAGTTTTTGCTATACTTCTTTGACCAATTTAACCAATACTAAACACTTTGATCAACTGGTCAAACTGGTCTAGTCAAGCTTGATTATTGATCAGTTTGTGCCAACTCTGATTATAATACATAAATAAATATATATTTGAATTTACTAATATAATTTATTTAATATAATATAAATATTCAAATATATATTATATATGTATACTAGTATCTGACTTGTGGCTCTGCTACAGAAACTGCATAAATTCATAAAATTTTTAAAAGGAATTCATAATTTTCATTAAACATGAGTTAAAAATATGTATTAATAAAAAATATATACAGTCTAACCTCCCTATAATCACAACTCTCAGGATAAAGATTTGTGTGATTATAAAGAGAATTTTACTAAGATGTGATTATAAAGAAGTTTTTTTTCTATATATTTATAATAGTTGGTTTTAAAATAAATATGCTTATAAAGAGAATTTTTATATGATGTGCTTATACGTATAGAGGGTGACTATAGAGAGGTTTAATTGTATATAACTTTAAATTAGTTTACTCTTAACTTAATTATCTAGAAAGTAGTATTACTGCTAACAAAGATATTAGATTGCTACCTTAATAGCAATAATTTATTTCTTAAATTTTTTTTTGTAAATACCTGAAATTAAATCAGGCAATAAAATTTGAATAAATCATTATTACCTTTGGTTAATAAACAATTATTAGGTTTGTACACATACTAAGTTGGAATGAATAAAAATAAGGTTTAATTACTTAAATTCTTTAACTAATTAAACTGTTAAACTCTCAAATCTAGAATCGAATTATAAAGATTTCTATTGTAAATTATTGTAAAAAATCTGTTATATAGTTTTTAATTAAGGTTTTATTAGTTTTGTATTGGAATTATCAATTTTTATTATGAGTTATTATATATAACATATTTTTTATTTTGGTGAACACAGTATATAATAAGGTTGGGTTAGTTTATATTGGGATTAAGTTTGTTTGTATTAAAATTATTATAATCTATTGTTGATTCTTGTAAGAATTCTATAAAAAATTACTCATTTCAGTGACATACAGGTTTCTATAGAAAAAAATTAAAATCATATTCAGATTTTGTTCAGATTATTTTTTAAAATAAGCATTTTTCGTAATAAGTATCTATACAAAACCTTTTTAAATTTCTAAATACTTTCAAATTTCCTGAATACTTCAAATTTCCTTGTTATAATTTTATGCTAAAAAATAATTATAACCAGGAAATCAAAAATCCTTTACAAGCACAAGTTACTGTTTCTTTACTCAAGAGTTTACGCTAAACTATTCTTGCAACTCGCCATAAGAATAGATGCCTTGTTTTTTTTTTACATTCCATTATATTTGAACACAATCTACGATTAGTAACGTTATCTTGATGTGTGACATTCACTCAATTCCGACATTACAAAATACAGGGGTATCCGAATATACGAATGCTAAATCAATTCTATAATCGTTTATACAAAGGATTATAACAATTAGGTGAAATGTGAATCGAATCTAATTAGATTAACAAATAAACTGACTATCGTAGAATCGATTTACACCTCTAAATTTAATAAAGTACAGACTATAGATAATCGAATTTGTTAAATACTATTGGTCAGAACGTAGTACATCTTGTGGTATTTTGTGGTATGAATAAAAAAAAAAAGAATTAGAAAGCGAAGATAGTGAGAATAATAAATATGGCATGATAATTATAAGACAAATATGTATATAACAATGTAAGAATTAACTATTATTTCGTCTATATATATTAAGATTACATCTATTAATCATGAATAAATGATAAAATTAAATCTACATTCATAAAAAAATTTCCATGCTTTATGTTATCCGGTAGACTAATTTGTCCTCGATCTAACTTAATAATGTCATTGCTTTGAATTTACTTTGGGTTCTTACCCTTTTGTGAACCTAAAGCGCCACTAAATATTTCCTGCAATGACTTATTATCGAAAAACATTTTATCAGGATCATACTTTGAACGCACTACCTCAAATTGTTTAATTTGTGCAGATAAGACATCAGAAAGATAAGGTATAATGCCTGGAATAGTTTCCCATTCTTTTGCCCAATGAGGCCTGTAGTAAACGAGTTTATATGATATAGAATAATAAGTTAATTAATCCAAATTGTTACAAAGAAATAAAAACAGTAACAGTCTTACTTTGCATTGTACTTTTTATTAAAATATCTTGGCCCTAATGATTGTATAAATTCTTCCCAGTCAGGACTGCCAAAGATTGCATCGATATCAATTTGTAAATATAATGCGTTTTTATCATTATCAAAGGTAGTGGCAAATAAAGTTTCAGTTGATTTTATAATTCTAAAATCTGCAAGATAATTTATTGGATATTTTCCTTTTTTTGCCAATTCATATAACTGCAAATATAATAATGTTAGCAACAAAGGTAAATTAACAAAATTAGATATAGTAATATAACTCACTTTTTTCATTATGAAAGAAATTTCATTGACGACATTGGAAAAATCCGGATCAACTTTGAATCCAATTTCACACATAGTAACTTTAATAGCTTCTTCGGAAGGTACGTAATGGAAACCATCAGGAGCCTGCACTACCGTACTAACATTACCAACACCACCATTATTAACATTCGATAATGTACCAGTTATACTCGGAGTTAACGAAGGATTAGATGTTAGGT